TCTAGGGGCTGGGAAGGTCTACAGGGCACCTTTCCCTGTCCTGTCTGCCTCCACCACTGCCCTGACAGGAGCTTGAAGAGGAACACCCAATTATGTCACATGACTGAGATTGTTCAGCAGATCCCCACCTCCGGGAGCCAGAGGAAAATGCAGGAAGAAATACCCCTGTGTGCGAAGCACAATGAGGTTCTGACCCTGTTCTGTGAGAAAAGCCTGGAGCTGCTGTGTCCCCAGTGCAAGGGCTCCTTAGATCCCCTGGATCAGCCCCTGATCCCCATTGAGGAAGCTGCAGCCAGTCACAGGGAGATCCTCAAAAGGCACATTGGGACCCTTACTAATAACCTTGAAAATGCTGAAACTGTATATAAAAAACAAGATGAAAATACTTGGGAAGTAAAGAGAAAGATGGAAAAACGGAGGGAGGAATTGGACTATGAATGTGAAGAAATTAAGAGTTTCTTAGAAGTAGAGCACAATGAAATTGATAAAGATCTACTTATGGAAGAGAATGATGCTGAAGAAAACCTAACTGAAAATGAAAGGCAAATTTCACACCATACGTTCAGGCTAAGCAGTCTGTTAAGTAAAACAGAAGAGAAGTGTTCGCAGACAGATGAGGATTTACTCGCAGGTATTGAAAGGATCCACAACAGCTATGGAAACCGAGAGACCCCAGCAGTGTTTTCATGTGAATTACAGAAGGAGATTTTCACTCTCCCCCCACATTACCTGGGCCTGCACAAAATGATCGGCACCTTTCAGGTAGAGTTGACACTGGATCCTGAAACTGCCCATCCAGACCTCATTATGTCAAGTGATAGAAAAAGTGTGACCTACAGGAGCCCAGATGGTCTTCCTAATCCCCAGGCACTTCCTTCTTCCCCAGCTGTCCTGAGTTCTGAGGAAATGGATGCTGGCAGGCATTTTTGGGCAGTAAAAATAATAGGCGCAGGTGAATGTTTCTTAGGTGTGTGTAAAGAATCCTTCGTCATAAACACTCCCATATCACCATCGGCAAACAATGGATACTGGCAACATCAGCTCTTGACTCGGACATGTGGCGTTGTCCCTACAGGACAACGGAAGATTGGCATTTTTCTGGACTATGAGTTGGGAGAGATTTCATTTTATAATTTGAATAACTGGTCATATATGTACGGAATCACTGACAAATTTACAGAAAAACTTATTCCTTATTTCTCCATTGCATCTTCTTCAGACTCTCTTACAATCAGTATCATCAGAATCTAGTGATGACAATTTGGATGAAATTTTGTATGTGCTTATTTCCTCCCGTGTTATTAAAAGGAAAACATAATAAAGATCCTGATTCCAAAAAAAAAAGAAAGAAAGAAAGTAGACAGGCCTCTCGCCCCCCCCCAAAAAAGAATATATACTGTATGAACTCTTTATATAAAACTCTTTAGAAAAGGCAAACTAAGCTATGTAACAGAAAGCAGATTAGTTTTTGAGGGCTGGAGGGATCATCAGGAAAATTAAGAAACATGGGAGGTGATGGATATACTCACTATCTCTAGTTTTATGATTATTTCATACATGTACATGTATATTAGAAGTTGTTAAATGATACACTTTAAGTGTAATTTATTGTATATCAATTATATATCAATAAAGCTGGGGTTTTTTTTTAAAAAAAAAAACAGCTATCAATCCAGATGCCCGTATTGTTGTCTGCAAAAAAACAAATGAAGTACTTTGGAAGAAAAGAAGAATATTAAAGTTGAGATAAAATAGGAATAGGTTAAAGTTCAGATGTGTTGGGCTACACCTGAGTGGATCTCAGGAATTTTCTGAGATGAGCTCATTCCAACAGCCAGAAGGTCAGGCCCACCCAAGAGGAGAGGAACAAGCATGGGTGGGACATCTGTGACAGGGCTTCCTCATTTGTTATGTCGTTAATCCCTTGCAATTCAGAGTATGATCCATGCATCACTCCCATCAACACCACCTAGGAGTTCTTAGAAATGCAGACTCTTGGGCTCACTTCAGACCTAAACAAGAGTCTGCATTTTAACAACATCCCAGGTGATTCGCATACACCTAAAATTAGCAAAGCTGCTGACCCAAACTACACAAAAATTGAGAAGGTAGGTGTCACTTCCATCCACACAAATAAGGAGACTAGACTCAGAGAAGTAAGATACTTAACCACATTCACACTGAGTTGGGATTCAAACGCTGGTCTGATTCCAAAGGCCTCACAATTTCCACTAGATCATTTTCTGAGAAGAGGTACATGGAAGGGGTTTATTTGGGTGGGTTGGAGATCAAGATGAGGATGAAAAGCATATGAGAAGGTGAGAAGTCAAGAACCGTAGTACTACCGTGTTTAAAGTATTTTTAATTTTTAATTGTAAACCTAACACACAAATGTATGCCCATTGTAAAAAGGCAAACAACTAGAGGTCTACTGAGTGAAAGTGAAAATTCCCCTTGTGTGTCTCCTCCCATCTCACCCTCCTCCCCTCAGAAACCAGTGTTAAAGTTTGGTCCCTATCTCTCTTAAATCTTGTATTTAGTTTGGAAAGTGAGGAATTTTTAAGTTACAACTATGAAGAATATTATTTGCCTTCGCAAAGTCAAGTTTACCTGTTAGTTAACTAGGCTAGCCACACAGAGCATTTTGAACACACTCATGTTTGAGAGGGAGGGTTATCATAGCTCAACAGCTGAGAGGGTAGGAGTTTTCCCGAAGCCTGAACTGACCAGGAGACTTGGTTCTCTCCCTTCTATTACTGTCCCCACTGAGTTGGGCCAGCCCCTGATGGTACTGCCATTGCTGGACTATCTCATAGACACTATGAACCAAATGAGTCAAACCACTCTTGCTTCACCAGCTGTTGCCCAGGTTGAAGAGGTAATGAGAATAACAAAAGGAGCCCTCTAATCCCCAGGGCAAAGGTGTCTCAAAGCTTTGGCTTATTACTTCGTAGCCTGGCCCTAACCTATCTGTCAAATCTCAGTGCTCATCACAATCACTCAGTCATTCAACAAACCTCTATTGAGCACCTTACTAGGTGCTGAACATTGAGCTGATACTGGGGAAAATTCTTTCCTCAGGGAGCTCATCGGCTCTGGTTTATGGCCCTATAAATAGATTATGATACCAGGGAAGCCACTACCTCCACCTGGAGGAGTTCAAGAGCCTGCAGAGGACTTTGGTCCCAAGGGGATAAACATGGACTTTAGACCATGATACAGGGGTCAATGGAGATAGAGTTGTTTTTCTTTGTTGTTTGTCTTTTGGGCATTTTTTTTTGATACTTTAAAAAACTTGTCCACATAGCTTTATTTTTTCTAGTCATAAATTTTATATTTGTTATGAAAAGTTCAGACAATATAGGTAAGAATAAAGATAAAAATTTAAATCACCTATTATCCTACCACCCAAAGATAACCACTGTTAATGAATTAAATGTTTGTT